TTTTTCAAAAAGTTAAGTAAAAAGAATTCTTAAAATCTTGTTATTTTAATAAATTTTTATTGAAAAAAATTAAATATTTTAATTGTTAAATTATGTATGAGATTGTTTTAATTTTTTTCATAATATTTTATTTAAAAAACATAATTTTTAGTATTTTTTTCACTTAATTTTTTTACATGTTTAGTTAATAAATACTAATCTTACGTAAAATTTCGTAAAATCTCATGTAAGATATTTTTAGTTTAACAATTTTCTTCCATGAATCATCCCCTGTAAGATGTCACTGTGAATAAAAGTGAGAATTTGACATAAAGTTTCAAGTTGAAAGAAAGAAGTTGTTAAATTGAAATTATCTCCACTGCACTATACAACACCATTTGCATGAAAAATATGCTTATATGCATATGTACATTTGCACCGAGGGACAGCCTCAGCACATACGCTCATAAATTGTGTTTGACAATTATCAAAGCAAAATTAAAGGGGAAAGTTGTAGTTCCAACTACGTACAATGGAAGAAGTTAAGCCAAGAGAAAGATGAAATTTGGCACTAATAATCAATGCCACCCCAGTCATTTCAAGAGCAACCCGAACCACATCGGCTTCTTCAAGTTCTTGAACGCCGCCGCAACTTCACTGAAGAAAGTCATCGCCGATGTGTTTTTGCCATTTGGGGTCATCGTCTATGTCATCCCTGGTGAATCGCTTCTCGCCGACGGTGGTAATGGCGATGATGAAGAAGAAAACGAGGATTATGATGTCGATTAGGGAAGCAGGATTTGAGACTGGTGCATGCAGTAGACGTCGCAGGCTTTTGTTTCTGTGAAAGGAAAGATTTTCTGGAGCTTTGGGAAAAAAAACAAAAAGCCGGCGGCGTAGCCCAGGACGTTTCCGACCGCCATGAAGAAGGAGGCCCAGGCGTTCACCGTCCCAATCATTCGGTGGTTGTTCGCAGAAAAGTCGGCGAGAAATGCGCGGCATTGGCCTTAGAGCATGTTGTCCGTCTCATCGAGAAACCGGAAGCCCTAGACGAAGAAGACCAGAGCCCTGGGCTTTGAGGGCTTATCCGAGGAATCGCCAGCCCAGTACCCTATATATCTTTAGCAAAACCGACGAAGAACACGGCCATGACGATGCTAAGGCCACCGGAGACAATGAAAGGACGACGGCGGCCGAAGCTTGACGAGCAGCGGTCCCTGTAGTGCCCTGGACAAGCAGGCCAAAAATTGGGCTGCAAAGCCAGAAGAATGAGGCCCAATTGTGGGGGGACCCCAAGGGTCTCTGTACCCAAGGGGTCAAAAGGCACAGTGTAGGACCCATACGAACTGCACACCCGGCGGCTATAGCTTTTTTTTTAATGAAATAGACTAATTAGTTGAAATCTTCACGAGACATCTACCAAAAAAGAAAAAAAAAGGAAATCTTCACGAGAAAAGAGATAAAAAGAGAAGATGAGAATTCAAATTTCATTATATTAGTAAAGAAGTATCTTTATGTTAATAATTTGATCGGTTGTTTTACGGACCTTCCTTTGTTAGCGGCTGTAATTGCTGCAATAATAATCTTCATAATGTTATAAATAATAATGTTAAACATTTTAAGGCTTAATTTTCTCCAATTTCCTTGATCCGTGAAGATGGGACATTTGACATAGTCAAAGAGCATGTTTTTACAGTGTTATGTAATGTTTAAAGTTTTAATTGACTTATGCTGACAAAGTTTGTCTTTCTCCCCTACCATTGTTCTAATTTTAATTTTATTATGAATTAAAAGCTATACTAATTAATTCCTCTGGTTTATTACTCTATTCTGAGTTAGTTTATACGTAAATTTTTTAAATGAATTTCTATCTTTCATTTAAAAAAAAAAAGTTACAATTAATTCTGCCCAAAGAGAAGAATATAATGCGGTAGAGAAATTGACCACAAATTGGAAGAAATGTTGGATAAGGATTTGCGGCTATAAAACAATCGAAATGTCATCTCAAAAATTGTAATGATCTCCTTCTTCCGACTAAGTGCAGTTAAGTGCAATACTGAGATGGAGTAGGGAAAAAAGAACCTAACAAAGTGCCTACCACCACAAACTTTCGACGTGTAATGGAATAATTTGCTTCTCCAACTAAGTTTAGGTTCAATGAAATATGATGATGGTTTAGGAAAAACAAACAACAAATAATGACCTTTTCAAGTCCCTACCACAAACAACACTAGAGAGAAACAATGGTGCTCATAAACCCACATAGTAATGATTGGGAAACAAGCCAATCCTATTAGTCAAACGTGTTCAAATTGCCCATGGTGCGCGTGCATTCCATTTAGCAAGGAAATCGACCAACAAACACAAGGACGTGGGATTGAATATAACCTTTGATTAGACGAGATGGGTATTAGAAAGTCTCTATCCAACCTCCTATTGACAAATTCTTACAAACAGGGCATAATCTGAAAGGGTACGCCACTAATGAGAGCTAAAGATACGGGATCAAGAATTTATCATAGCATATTGAATGCAATACCTGATCAAAGATGTACTTCTTTATTATTATTATTTTTACTTGAATTATGTATTTTTAGATAATTTTTACATATTTTAGAATTAATTTTTCTCAAATAATTGTAATTACGTAACTTTCACATTAAGAAAATTAATTTATTTGGGTATTAACTTTAATTTTTGAATCTAATTTAAAAAACAATACTTATTTATTAATAAATATAATCCTTGATAAAAAAAATTTTAAAAAAAAATGTATAGTTGCTTTCCTATTATTGAGCTTAAATTTTTTTAACTCCCTAAAATATTGCCGTAAATCATTCCAATTTAATTATGATATCAAGAGTAGACTAAAGGATTGGGGATATAATCACCTTTATCCATACTTAATTGATCTTGCTATGAAAGAAAAATGATAAAATAACATACCATGTGCATTCTTTTGAACGCAAAGCACAGAAAGATAAAGAGGAAGAAATTCATCATTAATAATGGAGAAGATTGACAAACGGTTCAAACTGATCTTTGTTGACCCATTGAATCTCTTTTGTATCCAAATCATTCGTATTCCTTTTATGTGAATCCGTTTTGTGTTTCACAACCCAAATAATGACAATGATCTATTTATCCTTTCTTTTAAGTCAAGGAAAGAAATCCAAATGACAATGGTTCGACGTGTTCCATGAAAAAGTATAAGGGAAGATTGCATATCTTTTGACTTTCCTTTGAAACCCCCTTCATATTTTCCTAAGAAAAAGGAAAACGGAAAAAGAAACTCCACCGCGTCTGAGCTCGTCCTACCTAACAACTGCATTTGGCACCTTTTACGTTTATTTTAATTTTTTATATGATGAGTTTTGATTTTTTTTTTTTTACCATGAAAAACTGTGGCACTATCTAAATGTATTAAACAAGTAAATATATATATAACATTATATGTCTCAATTAAATTTAGGGTGCGTTTGAAATTCTTGTGAATTGTCGTGACTATAGTTGTGGTTGTGCTGTATTGTATTGTGTTGTAATTATGGCTGAAAGTTATTTTGGTGTTTGGATATTTATTTTTTAAAATATTATAGATGAAATATGATAGATTTTATTAATTATTAATTAAATTTTAAAAATTTTGTAAGATATATAATTATTAAAATATATAATATTTATTATTTTTTAATAATTTATGTTTTTAAATTTGTTTTCATTATTAAAATATTATAAATTATGATATTATAAATTATGATGTAATTAAATTATATGAAAATAAATTTTAATGAGTAATTTTGTAATTATATTAAATATTAGATATTCTCTGTAAAAACTCCAGTTTGAAAACTCCAAAATAAGACTTCTGATTTTATATATAAAATTACTGTATATCTACTGTAACTTTCTACAACTTTGAAAAAAAAAAACAGTTTGAAAAAAAATTACCAAACACACATATCTCTAAAGGTACTGTGTGGTTATATGAAAAAACTCCCAACCACAATCCCGAACGCACTCTTAAAAATCAATTAAAATTATTACTACCTAAATTTTATTGTAAGATTTTTATTGTGAATAAAGATTTTCTTTATTGATAATGAAAGAAATATTGCATCTATTCAATTTTTTTTTTGGTTTTATTTTTTCACTTTTTAAATATAAAAATTAGATGAAAATTTAATATTTTATATAAACAATAATTAAATTTTTTTATTAAATAAATTAAAGTACTTAATAAGAATTATATAGTAAAAAAATTATTATTCATATAAATTATTATTCCTTTGCGTTTATTTTTAGTAAATTTAATTTAAATTTTTGATTTTTTTCAAATATAAATTTCAAATAAAAATTTAACTTATATGAATAACAGTTAAAAAGTTTTTTTTCTATATGAAATTTTTGTTGAGTAATTTAATTTGATTAATGAAAATTTTTAATTATCATTTATATAATATATTAAATTTTTATTTAAAATTTATAGCTAAAAA